CATTTGCAGTCGCTTCTGTAGCTCTTCCACTGAAAGTCAAAAGAAAACAATAAAAAGGCAGTTTACTGCAATGCATTTTGGCATGGCAAATTGTTCAAGATTACAGAAGATGAGGCTCTGAATTTTATGTCTCATATCTGATTTTAGTGCGTTTTAACACAAAAATGTTTTACTCCACAGCAGAATGTGCTTCCTATTTTCTGTCAACAACTGTAAAAGTTTAAAAGGTTCAAATTAAGACAAAAGTAAAAAAAAAATGCATTCTGAAAATTGCTTTCCTTTAGTTTTTGTTTATTTGAAATATTTTTTAAAAAAGCCATTTATATTTAAGCAGCAGCTTATTGTTAGTGGACAGATATTACAGATACTTTCCATAAGTAAACTTGAATGTTCAGTCAAATGTATAATTATTAATCGGTGAGCTGTATATACAGTTGCAAGTGTAAAATGTCTTAATATAGGAAAGATATTTATCATTTTAAATACAATTCAGAAAAAATAGAAAATAATGCATATAGAACAAACAGTGCAAAAGAGCATTTTATTATTTTCACACTACAGAGCAGCAATCATTTACTGGCTTGATGAAGGGAACATTTCATGGTTTCCATGAAATGCTTTTTGAAAGTTATTGAAACAATGTTTGTCAGGATATTGGTTTCTTGTATACGTGTGCCTAAGAAAGCAGGTATTGTTGCAGTCTCCTCCTGCTCACCTCTATGTCTGAGGTCCCTAGCCTGTTCATCTGTCTTCTGGTACTTGTCTTCCCAATCCTTCTTCTCCTCCTCTAGCAGTTCCACTTTCTGCTGCAGAACCCCCATCTCCTTCAGCAGTGTGGAGTCCTGGAGCTGCTGACGAACAGTCTTCATCTGACAAGAACACCAGAGCTTAGCCCATTCCCTTATTCCCAAGGCCCGCCAAAAAAGTAGAAATAAGACTGCATATAAAATGGAGATAACTATGGGTGGAAAAAAAAGTAAAATGTGTATTGAACTTAAATTATGCATTATAAATTAATAACTTTAATGTAAAATGAAACAATCAAATACCATATCTGAGGAAATCAAAGAGCATTGAATTTTTTTTAGCTAATAAAGCCTTTCACATCAACAAGAATGCAGCTAAACATTAACCTGCAGTGCACAAAGACCATGATGGAAGTTTTTGAAATGGGTGGTTTTGACAGAAGGGGTGAAAACCCTAACCATTCAAAAGTGATGTAATGTTTCTTAGAGAAAATCCTCTTAATGACAGGTAATGATCCAGTCAGACTTTGCAACTAACCTTGATGTAGGTACAGGTCTAAATTTTCCAACAATAAAAAATAGCATATAATGATTTCAAAGTGTGTGTAGCTCCCTGCAAGCCTTTGCTTTAATTTTTTGCTTTCTCTCTTCAGCAAAAGTTTCTGTGCAATGACGTACACAATAACACAACATGGTCTCAAAGTGTTCTTTCACTATATTAGACAGCATTTTAATTCACCACAGTTATTAATTTATAATACATAATTTGAGTTGCACAAACACTTTTCCATTTTGTCTCCATAATTACACGCCATTTTGTATAAAATACATCAGATGTATTTTGAATTATAAACTTTATAATGCAATAACAACAACTGACACTCTTGGATATTACACAAAATAAAATAATTAAAAATAAATAATTAAATCTAGATGACTAAATGAAATGACTCCACTTACCAAGCAAACCAATATATCAAGTCTAGAAGCATGCAGTGCAAAGAGTCCTGCAATGTTTCATTTAAAAAATAACATGAAAAGAATAAAAAAGCATAAAACATGGAAAATACATTTAATATTAAAACTAGTTTCTTTTAACAAATTTAACACCAACCAATCAGAAAAAAAATTAACTTCATTTTTATTAGAAAAAGCTATGAATATTTATTAAAAGGTAGACTGTTTTGGCTTAACCCTCTTGAGCAGGTTGGTTGTAGGAAGTTGGAACCACCTGCAAAAGCACTCATACAGGGATCCATTTAGCTTTTACGAAAAATCAAAGTTACACTCAGACACAAAGTTACACTTAACTATAGATAAATGGACATATTGGAAACAATTCCAAGCAGTACAATATGATTTAAAAAATTATGATCTTGGAATATGAAGGAACTGGGCATTTGAGAATTAGATCTTGAATAGCTGAAACTGAAAATAAGAATGAGAGTCAACAATGCTATAAAGATAACCTATAATGTGAGAATACGAAATTGATTAGAGAGCCATTTTGTTTATAATATGGACAACAGTGAGGTCAAATGAATGAAAAAGTTGACCAGGGCGTGTTTGTCTGAATCCTAGACATCTTTAGGATTACAAGCTAAAGCAGCAGAGGTAAAGGAGAACTTGATAGCAATCATTCTTCCCAAACCTTTGTAAAAAAAAACTATTTAATGGCATAATCAAAGTCTTTAACAGAACTAGAAAGAGAGTTCTAGTAGGCATGGCTTCTCACAGTGTGTAAATTTATCCTTAGTGCACAGAGAGGTGATTTTTGGCAGAGCGTATGAGCAAGTCCTTAATTTAAGCTTGTAAACATTTTAAACACTGAGATTCTAAACTAGGCATATGATCATCGTCTGCGGCCTTATTAGAACCCATGCAGCACCATGTTGAATATATGACAATCTTTGAAGACTGCAGGCATTTTGCAAAATACTAACAAAAATACCAATTTAGTAGCAGTGCTGAAAAAGAGCTGCAGACAAATAGAAAACGCAGCTCTTCTGCCATCTGAGGAGAGTTTCTGAGGGGTTCTGAAAGCTGGGAAAAACTGTAGACTTTTGGTGTCATTCTCTGGTACTGGGGTTTGAGAATGAAAGCTCTGCTGCCATCTCCCTTTCTTTATAACTTCAAGGGCAGAGACAAGAGGAAGGCATACATGTTTGGTAATGAATATGTATGCATGTTTGGTTGGCAAAAGCTAATTGAAGATCTCATCCAAATTATTCTATTAAAAAATAGAATACTATTTATTTCTTACTGTACGTGACACATTCATTATTTACAGTTAGGAATTGGGAAGCTTTTTAAATCTCAACTATAGACCCTCTGTAAATGCTACTTGTGCATATACAAAATATTGCCACCACAATACTCTGTATCTACTTTAATATTCTTCTATATTCTTTAACCCATTCATGTCATTTTATATGAGATATTCAGACTAAAATAGGATAATATCAGACATACCAGTCAGTTTTAGTCATTTAGGCCTTTTCTTGTCAGGATACACTAAGATGTAATGTTATGTAGTAGAAAAAGAAAAATCTTATTGGGCAGTATAAGTATTGGACAGGAAGTGGCGTCACTTTTTTGTATTCTTCTAAACTTGATCTTCAGATAGAAATTATGTTTTAGACAAATATGGTAATAAATATTTAGCTTAAAAGGAGAAAGGATGCTGTTGTTGGTAAAGCTAACAAAAGCAGCTCATGTGGTGATAATTGCCTCTAAGTAGCTTTGGAATATTGCCAGATTTATTTTGCCCTTCTCAAATAATGCGCTAATTGTTCTTTAAATGGAAGGCACAGCTCACCTCATTCTGCAGGATATGAAAGATCAGCACGGCCTCTCTCCTAATACTCTTTATATTTTAATCAATTAACAAGCCAATCCAAGTAAACACAGCCCTGCTTTGTATTCTTCTAAATATAACAGCTGTTCTTAAAGTGATTTATACTTCACTATATTGTTCAGTTAGAAAGAATATTAATATTCAACAATTTTCAGACTTTACATAAAATGTATTGTAACAATACAGCATATAGTCTATCTGCTAATTCTTCAAAATGACAGTTTTACAAATAAAAACTGTATACAAATAAAACAAGAGTGAGAATCTAACAGTCGAAGACATTTACAGAAACCGTATGAGGAAAAAAGGTGAGGTGGTAATTCTATTCATGCTAGGTTTATCAATCTTTCACCTTTTTGCAAATCATTCAATAAAGCTTTCCACCATGAAAGGAAGACAACAGCAACAACAGAATTATCAAAGGGTAAAAAAGAATCTCACTTTAATAATGAAATTCCTTGTACCTTCAGTCTCCCTAATTGTAAAACCTGTGTTTTTAGGTAATTAGTATAGCCTAGTGCTGCACAAAGAGTTTTAAGGAAATAGTTAATGCTAATATCTTGATACACCAAATAGTACTCATAGCTCCCTTTCCATTTCAGGGCGTTGTAATGTCCTGCAGCAGCAGCTTTAAGGAAGCTTTCATCACTTGAGCCTTACAGAATGTATACTTATAGAAAGCCAGTCATCTGCTATCTGGCTTAATCAGGAAATATGCAGGATCGTGTGTCTCATCTTCTGAAGCCCACACATTAGTTCCTTCAGATTTCATCAGCAAAAACACCCCAACATTACAGTCACCCCTCAGTGATCAACCTCCAAGAAATAACAGGTAGTTGTTGTCTGAACAGAGAAAAACAGAAAAGTAGTCCTTTTCTGGACTTCATCTATGACAACCTGGGTTCAAATAGAGCAGAAACTAGAAGCAAAATTAGTTTTCCTAGTCTCAACATGGGGTATGTCTAGATGCATCATTAAAAGGTATTAGGTACAATACAAAGAAGGCCTCCAGTGTAAGGAAAGCTGCCTTTATGATTTTAAATAAATAACAGCTACATTATATTGTATTTTATTTCCCTCCACTGTTTTACAGTATTTAGCAGGGTTTGAAAAAAAACTAAGAGGAGACACAAATCACATTACATGTTTTTCCCCATGTTTTTTTCTGTATTTAGGGTGTAATAATCAGTGACTGCCACTGTAACAAATCAGCCATGTACAACCAGTTATGTTAACTAAAAAGATCTTAAGAGAAAAAAAAATCAATATTTACACTTTAATGAACCAGTATTCACCTGTGAATGAATGCTTCTTTTCTACACTCTGAGACTCACATTGAGGAATACCTAGTTAAGCCTTGTTTCTCTTATTTTCTGCAGAAAATATTATAAGCCAAGGCTATTGCTTTGTGTGTGATAATAACATTGCGTTTTACGGGAAATGTGAAGTCACAGATCATACTGTGAATAGGGGGTAAGGAGCAGTAAAACAGTAAAGCAAATTCTCCATGGCAGCAGGAATTTGGGGCCGAATCCAACCATGCTAAATGGACCAAACTTATTTAAAAAAATATTCAGGAACTTGCTATGCTAGGAAAATGACTAAGCGTTGTTTGTAAATTTAGAACTTTCAATTTGTTTTTATATCAAGACAAAAGTAAAACCTTTGTGGGAAGGTAAGGTGTGGATGCGATGTGAATCACTCACCTCCTGCTGGTGCTGAAGCCTCTCAGTCTCTAAAACCTGAGTGAGCCGGGACACATCCTCCAGAGCTCTGCAGAGCTGCTCACTGGGAGAAGCACTTTGGAGCAGAAGCTGGCTCTGCCTTTTCAGTTTCTTTTGCTCCACCAGCATCTGGATTATGGAGTTAAGACAGAAAGTAACATGGAAACCAGTGGCATATTTAAATTGGTCATACTAAAAGCAATGTAATGTTGCAGGCAAGCTACTGGTTCTTTTCCTTCGAATTTTAAAGACACCTTTTCAATAGGTTCCCGTGAGTATTTAAACACTTGCTAGAGTCAGTTCATACAAAATGTCCTATAGTTACTTCCGTAGTTGTGGAAAGGTGAGTGAATAAAATATACAATCTTTCAAGACATTTTGATGTTTCTTTCATTCAAACAGTCTGCTATTCTTAAATGTTTTTCATACAAAATAAAATATTATTTCTGTATTGACTTTGGAGGGTGTATCCCACAGCTACTACATTTCACAATACACTGAAACAGGGAGATGATTTTTTTCATAAAGCAATAATTAGGATCTACCACCGAGATATTTTTCATTGTGCAGCAACTAAAAATAAACTATTAGAATTGCATTTAATCCCTTGTAAAATGTAAAATATTACTTTTCTTTTGTTTAGTGACTTCATTTTAAAGGCAAGTAAAAATTGTGACTTACATTAAATACAGTAAATTCAGTTGAAGACTAACTTCTACGAACCACAAAATATTCTTCAGCTAAATAATGTTTCACTCATTGTCAGAGCCAAATTAATAGTAGATTAAACTCATCATGATTTAGTACTTGTAAAATATGAACCAAAAACCAATCCATACTGTACTTTTTGTGCAAAGCCTTCTGCTTCCATTCGAAGATCTTTCTCAAGCTCCAGATTCTCCTGTAGCTCTTCATATTCTTCCAATGCTAATCGGGAAACTGAGAAAAAACGTTCCTGAATTAATGCGAGTGCAGCGGAATTTAGAAACACAACAAAAAGCTTCTCCAATACCACACAATACATTAGAACCTTCAATAATTTCACATTTTACCTTGCTACTCTGAAATTCCATCTGTACTGTTTAATACTTATTTCCAATTTGGGTACAGGGCTAACTATATTCAAAATGCACACCTGATCTCTGGTTTCCAGGCCACAGTGAAATGTGCTAGAGGTCTGTAATTCTGTTCTGCCTTCTGTTTGTTTGTTGAAGTAGCTTTTCAGACAGGAATGGTGATGATAACCCTGTAGTCTGGTCTCTGTTATGTTCTTCAGCACTTAATGGTGGCTGTTATTCAATAGAAATCATCTCTGATTTGCCACAGTAGCCAAGTGTCCAAAAGAAAACAGGCCAAAGTGACCAGGCAAATATACAACTGAATCTTGAAATATATGCCATTGAATTAAGCGTTATTGCATTAGTCTATAAAATTCTTCAAATTAAAGTATAATTGACGAATTGGGAAATATTATAAATTATCAGAAATAAAATCAATATGCTATCATATGCTAGTCAAGTATGCTGCTAAAAGCACAGTGCGAGCAGTTAAATGAAACGTTTATGACAACTATAAATTGGGACACATTTATGCATTTATCCTGAATAGATGTTAATTTAGTTTTATTTAAATCTATAATATTTTAAAGTAGTTCAAATGTATCTTGAAAATCAATTTATTGAGATTGTCCTGAATTGAGACTGCAGTTATGAAAAAATAATCCTAGGAAATACATTTAAGAGCTTTCGACATCAAAATGTCTTTATGAAAAGCTGATGGGGCACAGAAACATGAAATAAATATATACCCATACACTATTTCTTGCAAAGATTATTTTTCCTTTTTTGTCTGGGCGTTTATCATATTCACTGTGGGTAATTACTATTAGAATTCATACGGTGCCATAGGTACTTTGAAGAATTCATGCAAGTGTTTTATAAAGTGGGTTATTCATTCGAAATGTAGATGGATTTTTCATTCAGATGGACACTTTTTAGTCTGTCATCTTGTATCTCATTGAGAATATCCAATAATTTATTAGTAATAATAGGCCTTGCTTTTATAGTATTCTAGATATGACATGTCAAAACATGAACTCAAAAGCTGTTTTGCTTGTCATGATAAAATGCATTTCAAACAACGGCATCACAGAATAATGAATACTAATGTACGATTTAGCATTATTCCCAAGACTAGAATGCACACTTTGAAAAACTTGTTGAAACTTGACTTGCTGTCAAAGTGTAATGACCTCCCATAGCTATAAACAAAAACAAACTGTGAGATTCATTAAATGTTTAGGATTTTTAACTACCATATGACAACATTATTTGAGTTTAAGATGTCAGCCGGTGAAAGCACAACGAATGAGATGTGAACTGACCTCTGTTGAATTTTGTCAAGATCTTCTTTTGTTGAACCGTTTCAGTGAACAAAACAATATTTTCCTGTTTTTCTTTTTTCAGCTAAGAAAGTAAAGAAACCAGAGGACATTAAAATGATTTATTTAACTCAACTCACAACATGTAACAATCCTTAAATATCCACAAACTACATAAGACCATTAACGGGCCATGAAGCTCTAGTCCTGCGGGATACACAGGCTTTTCTGACAGGTCATTGAGATGTATATGGGAACATGTCAGAATTAACCACAAGCAGTAGTGCAAGGTTGCCATCAAGGTTGGGTCAGACAGAGCTGGACAGAATTATCCTTGGTTGTCACACATTCAATGGCCTCTAGGGCTTGCTTGTTGGTTGCTTGTGAGCCTGCAGCACTCTCAGTGAGACACACTGCTTTCTATTGTAGCTGGCTCTCCTTTATAGCACTGTATTGGAAGAGTGTAGTCTACCATTACAGCAAGTTGATCAATTATTGGTAATTCCAAAGTGGGAATGTAAAAACAGAAAAATATTAATTGGTTTCAACTTTGTTTTAAATAAATACATTTTTGTTTATGCTAACACACATTTTTTAAGTCCAACCTAATTCAGGTTCACTTAACTACTGCAACACAAATATGAAATCAAGGACTAGTGACAGGACAGGGTTTTCTAATTTATTGCTGAAGCAAATGACTTCTGATGAAACTAATGAACACACACTGTTAAAGTCATTAACTCAGATGGACTGTTAGCCCTGCTCTAGTCATAATATCAGCTTTGAGCTGTTCCACCATAACTTATAAGAGCATCCAAACCTAGAAGCAATAATGGCTTTATTTGAACACAGAGGTGACAAATGTTTACTCACTTCATCTGTTACTTTCTCCAGTGTCTGTCTCAACATTTCCAGTTCATTTGCAAATTTCTTCTTTTCCTCTTGTGCTGAAGAAAGTTTATCCTGCAGCTCTAAAGATTTTGAGCACAGTATTAGACAAACAGTTCTTCCTCAAACTGGTTGGGACGCCAGTCAATTGCACAATTACACTTTAGAGATACAAACTGGCTGACATGATATTAACCTTTCACATAAAAATGCTCCTAACACTTGCATTAAATTTCAAATTTGTGTCCGATAATTACAGGATACTTTTTGAAAAAGACGTTTTAAAATGTAGAAACCTTGTGTTGATTCCCCATCTTTACTTTTAAATTGATCTACATCGATGCCTTTGGAGACTGCTGTTGTACTTTGAGTGAGATATGTTAACCCAGGTACTCCAGTCCACCCAGGTGTACACGTGAAGACCAGCACTGCTTGGAGTTTTACACTACAGAAACCAGGATTAGCTCTGGCCCAATGTGTTACTGTGGCTCTGGAGTAAACTTGACCTTTTTATTATCATATAGTAGATGTAAGAGTGTTTGTAGATGGTATTGAGGATTAGTCTGCAAAATCTTTATTTTTCAGGATTACATAAGCACATCTTCATTATATTTTGTGAAAACCAGCACACTATTTGCAAAAACTAAGTATGAATTTCTGATTTGAAAGAGAGAGCACATTAATCTATTACAGTGTGCATGACTGAAGGGTCATTTTGCACACAAAACATTGTCATATCATGTCATTTGCAAAACCGCTTTATACCATACGGTGTCGCAGGAAGGCCTACCCGGTAAGCAACGAGCGCAAGGCGGGGTACACCTTGGACGGGGAACCAATCCATCACAGGGCAAGTGCAAGCCAATCATGGGGACAATTTGGAGGCCACGGTAAAGATCGAGGGGGGAAATTTGGCCAGGACACCGGGATAACCCCCTACTCTTCTTGAGAAATGCCAGGGGATCTTTAATGACCACTGAGAGTTTAACGCCTCATCCGAAAGACGGCGCTCACTACAGTATAGTGTCCCCGTCACTATACTGGGGCATTAGGACCCACACAGACTGCAGGGTGGCCGCCCCCCCCCCCACTGGTCCCACCAACACCCCTTCCAGCAGCAACCATAGCTTCCCAGGAGGTCTCCCATCCATGTACTGACCAGGCTCAACCCTGCTTAGCTTCAGTGGGGAGCCAGTTGAGAGATGCAGGGTGATATAGCTGCTGCCCACACAGCATTATCTTCCAAATTAATTTCCTTTGCCCCAGCTCATTTGCAGATGAACCGATTTATACCTTCACTTAAAATGAACCAAGGAGACTGACACTAGTACAGTTATAACCATTAGGACTTCAGTATTGTAAATGCAAGGTGATTATGAATTATATATATTGAGGTTGCGTCTATTAGCAAATATTTATTTTCAACTGATCAACACAACAACAGGAAACCAGGTCCTGCCCCTTAAGCAACAGTGAGCAAGGTGCAAGGGAGCAGCCACCTGTGATTTGACGCCTGCAATGAAGAGAAGAGCATGCGACAGGGCTATCCTCATTCTCCACAGCAGAGTCTTCTTCCTCAAAGTTGATGGCACTGATGACTTCAGGCCCTAGTTGAGACTGGTACAACATGCTCTTCCTCTTCAGGGACTTGTTCTCACGGTTCAGCTGTGGAAGAAGGCAAGGTAAGTTTATGCACAAAGAACTTTAGAGTCCAAGGATTTCTCAATTAGATATTTGCACTTAAAATGCAAATTTAGTAAAAACTAAATTAAACACACAAAAGGAATTCACCTTAGAAAAGAAGACAAAAAATAAAATTCAATTCAGTGTCTATAGACTAAAAAAAATATAAAGGAATACTTTTGTGAACAAAACTGAATCATGGAGTATCACATCTTCACTGGCAATTTCAAATTTATTATAGCCTTTTTATTTTGCATTTCAGACAAAAGAGAAACAATACCTAAACTGACACAACTAAAGGAATAATTAGCTTCTATTTTTCTCCATTTAGTTTGAGGCATTTCCAACCTGGGAACATTTTCAAAATACAGGAATCCTCTGACAAAGAAGAAAGTCTCTCTTACACCTATTGTCACTGGAAACTCCCAAGGCGCCACAAAAGTAAGTTATTAAATATTCTTAACTGTAGGGTTTGAACACAACATTCCATAAAAATAGCCAACATACAGTTGTATGCAAAAGTTTGGGCACCCCTGGCCAAATTACGTTTTGTTGATTTTCTAAGTGAAAAGAAGTTAACACAACCTCTGCAGCGAACAAACTTAAACTTGACATGCAAATTTTAATACACAGTTACTATTTATTTGCTGAATTTAACAGATTAAAAAAAATAAAATAGTAATAGTAGTGACCCTATCAGTCAGTATTTAGTAACACCCCCTTTGCCAGAAATCACAGCCTCCAAATGTTTCTTGTAGCCAGCTAACAGTCTTTCTATTCTTGCTTTAGGAATTGTTTTCCCCACTCTTCCTTGCAGATCGCTTCTAGTTCAGAAATATTCTTTGGTTGTCTTGCATGCACTGCGTGTTTGAGATCTACCCACAGATTTTCAATAATAGTAAAAATAAAAGTCTGTGAAGGCCATTCCAAAACCTTAATCTTTCATTTCTTGAAGTAGTCCATGGTTGATTTTGAGGTATGTTTTGGATCATTGTCTTGTTGTAATATCCAACCTCTTTTCAGCTTCAGTTTCTTCACTGACTGTGGGACATTTGCTTCCAGGATTTGTTGATACTTAGTAGAATCCATTCTTCCCTCTACCTGCACAATATTTCCTGTGCCACTGGCACACAACCCCAAAGCATAACAGATCCACCCCCATGCTTAACAGTTGGCAAGGTGTTCTTTTCTTCAAATGTTTCATCTTTTTTTCTCCAAATGTACTTTTGGTGATTGTAGCCAGAGTTCACTTTTTACTTCATCAGACCACAGCACTTGGTTCCAAAGCGCCTCTGGCTTATCTTAGTCTTGTATTACATACTTCAGACGTTGACTTTTGTGAAGAGACCGCAGGTAAGGTTTCCTTCTGATGACTCTTCCATGCAGATCTTGTTTGTGCAAGCAGTGCTGCACAGTGGACCGGTACACCACTACTCCTGTGCCAGCTAAACCTCCCTGCAGGTCCTTTGCAGTGATATGGGGTTTTTGCTTTGCATTCCTGACCAGTCTATGAGAAATTCTATCAGAGATTTTTGGGGGTTTTTCAGATCTTGTCTTGACTTCAACAGTTCCCCTTAACTTCCATTTCTTAATGACATTTCGGACAGTGGAAATTGCAAGCAGGAAACATTTAGACATCTTTTTATAGCTATCCCCTGCTTCGGAAGAGTCAATTATCTTTATTTTCTGATCCCCAGTCAGCTGCTTAGAGGAGCCCATGGCTGTTGAGTGTAAGCACAACACCCTGAGAGGTTCGAAGAGTCAGAGAATTTATGAAGCTCTGGAACTGTCATCACCTGACTTAGATTAAGGCTTAACAAGTCAATTAAGTTCTGAGACCTTCCAAAAAAATAGCACTAGTGGATCAACTGGAAGGGTGCCCAAACATTTGCACATGTCACATTTACTGTTTTATTTTTTTCAATCTGTTACATTCAGCAAATAAATAGTAACTGCATATTTAAATTTTCAGAAATATTTCAAATTTATGTTTGCTCGCTGCAGAGGTTGTGTTAACTTATTTTTTCCTTTAGAAAATCAACAAAACATGTCATATGGCCAGGAGTGTCCAAACTTTTGCATAAAACTGTACATACAACGTGAAACATCATTTTAACAAAAGCTGGGCCTCAGTCAGCTAGATACATGGATATCACTTCATACTTATGGTACTGACTTCACAGTGCTATGGAATGTTTGTCTTGCGAAGCTCTGTTCATCCCTCCAAAAAAACAGTTAGCTGCTTTCATTGGAACATTTCCAACTGGATACAACATTATTAAAGATTTCCATAAAAATATTTATGATTCTAACCTACACCTAATAATATAAATATAGATTTCTGTAATTGCATTACATAACATGCTACATTTTATGAAAATGTAAAATTCTGAGATCCCAGGGATTATTTAAAACAATGTACTAAATATTTGCCTCTTAAATGAAAATCCCAATCAATTCTAGAAAACAACAAAAGTATTTCCTTTTATTTTACTGCTTTAGATTAAAAATACAGCTACTGTACTATTCATATGGAGGCCAGAGATTAGTATTATCATTTTTCAAGTGATAGATCCAATTGAAAGAAAAAATAATCCTGATAGTTTCCAAGGTATTTAAATACTGCAGATTCCATATTATCTCTGAACATAAATATTCTTATGAACTATTTTTAAATAAGTCCACTTAAAAGACACAATTTGGATTGTATATACAGTATCACATAAAAAGTGTCCAAAAAAAAGGAAGAATCACTTAAAATAAGAAAAACAAATCGACAGTAAGCTTTGTTTACATTTAGTATATAGTCTGTCTAGTACACAGAATAATCTACCTATAATCTCACTGTTCCCCTCTTTTCATATTAAAGTTCCCTATGCAAACACTTCTTTCATTAATAGGAAGAATGTGAAACAGTTACGCAAGCAACACAAACTTGCAATGAAAAAAAGGATACTTAAGATTTCAATTAATCCGAAGTGCTTAAGAGTCAGATAGTGACTGGAAACATGATCTTCAAGAAGCAATACAGAAGCAGAAAAGGCAATAATAGCATTTAAAAAAGACAGCTCATCAAGGGAAACTGGAAGAAAAGCGTTGCATTCTTTTGCTTTTAAACCAAATTAGTTACGACGGATGTGTCAATTTACCACTTATTAATGGAATTTTAAATTGGAATAATATTTTTACAGATCTGCACTTCCTTCTAATGCAAACATGCAAAGAGCAGTCATATTTTGACCGCTGATATGGACTGCCATGTATAATAATTAATGAAGCAGCTAAGTAAATACCTCCAAAAAGTCAATCGCTAATGCATGTAAATTAAACGCATTTCTTGATGATGTGATTTCTGCCTTATTGGAAGAAGATGTGCTTCAAAAAAGCAAAAAAAAAAGCATATATTAATGACATCTGGTCTAGTAAATTGCTGCAATCCATTTTCTGATGAGGCCTTCCAGAATGCATTTCATATGCAATCAACAATACATAATACAGAGATAAAAACACTCTTTGATAATAATCTACTATTGATGAGACAAAATATAGGAAATTACATACTCAGTGAAATCAGCAGCGTGTGAACGATCAACAGCAAGAGCCAGAGGTCACCATTATGAAGTCAAGGCCTTCATCTTCTTTTATCAAACATCAACACAAATGTCATGTTTTGGTTAGTGGTTTGATTTGACTTGTGGCAACGGGTGCTTTTATTACAGCTTTTTAATTTAAAATGTTGGGGAGTTTAAAAACTTGATTATGATTTTCCTGGCTCCTCGCTGGCAGCAAAATTACTATCGCGGACCCAGTGAACTAAATTAATAAGGAATGAAGGTCACCTGTCTATCTCTTTTTTAAAGTACTGAAATGCTTTATTCTGATTTAAATGTAAATGAACAATAAAACCATATGATTTGGGAGACACTAAAGTTGAGAATGTTAGGGGAAAATTCTATTACAAGTTTTTGTTATTCGCATTACTCAAAAACATGCAAGGTGAAGAGGTATTACTCTTAACATTTCTAACAAGCTAGAACCTGTGGCCCATCTTTGGAGTGTATGAACTGTTTTATAAGGTCAACTATTTGAGCTACTAGACTTTTCAACTTAGCCAAGCAGAAGTTTTGGCACAAGTTCACTAACAACATATTCACAAATATGCTTTGGCTAAAGGCTGTAAATTTAATTTGATTATATAGAGTGCTAAACCAATCACGCAACAACTTTATAAAATGAATACCAGTTAATTTTATACTGTTGTATATTGTTACAATACTGTTACTGCTGATGGATTTAGTACAATAGTATTTATGTTGGCAAGGAAGTAATTATCACATCTATTACACTTTTGGCAGTGATGGAGTTGTAAGGCTTCTGAATAACTGTTAAACAGTGGTTGAAGTCATAGTGTACTCCACCTCTGTGTTACTTTATTTCATTGTTTTTCAAGTGTTCTGTGACAGTTTGTTTTCCATTTAAATTAGACTAAAATAACTTCTTAGGTGTTTACTAGGTAGGTACAACAAAGGCTCATAAGAAGAAAGATAAAGTGAAAATTAAATAAATTCAGGAATGTACAGCACATGGCTTCATTCTTGCCATTGGGTTATTTCCAAAGAATAATTAATTAGCCTGAAAAAATGACAATCTAAGCAGAAACAATGTCAGATAATTATGCATACCATAAGTAATAAGCTATGCAAAAAATGACCGGGAATACTACAGATGATACACATTCTTCAAAATCATACAAACTTCTATTTAAGCATTCTTTTGCAAGTAATTTCCATACCTAGTCAGAAAGATTTTAAAATGTTTACAAAGCATAACATTTATTAATGTTACTTTTGTGAAATTAGCTTTATGTTAAAAATTAAACTCTTAATTTAAAATTACTTTAAAACTCTTTTTCAGGGTTAAATGTTTAAAGTGGACAACAAGAGGTGGTCAATGAAATTTAATAGAATTCAATTTAAATTAAA